TTTTCCAGTTTTTGATTTTGAACATTTTCTTTTTTTCCCGAAACGATTCTATGTCAAATACCTATTTTTGAGTAAACCGTCAACTTTAAGCTCAATTATCTCGATTCTTGTAAAAGATATCAAAGTTTCGTTAACTGATAAACTATTTATCATAATACCACCAATATTTTATCAGTTGACAAACTTTTGATATCTTTTACAGGAATCGAGATAAATGGGCTCAAACTGGAGAGGTCGGCAGCCCACCGCGTAGCTCAGCCAGCAAGCGACGACTTGTCAACTTTGAAACAATTTATCTCTGTTCCTGTGAATGGTATCAAAAAGTCGAAAATTGATAAAAAAAATTTTGATAATATGATAAATATTTTATCAGTTGACCTCTTTTTGATATCTCCTGCAGAAAATGAGGTATATGGGAAGTTAGCAGTTTGTTCGGAAATTTTAGAGCTCTGAAAAAGCTGAAAGATCTCCTTGGTATTCTCTACCGTAACCCAAAACTTCCAATTCTGCGTCATGCTTCTTCTAGAATCCTCCTTATACCATCGTTAGAAGTTTCTTTCCTAATTTCTTCGTCATAATGTCCACATTGGTGCGCTGGGGTTCTAATCCATCTTATGACCACAAACATGAACGTCATTTCCTATATTGACCGTTTGCCTCCGAGACAGCAGCCACGTCATACCGTATTCCTGGGTTTCGAAATGGGATGCTCCAGGTGGTACCACCTAGTCGGATGGCGGGTCGTCCTAGTTCCTTCCTGTTTTTCTCCCTTATTCTGCGGTCCAACCCTTCTTCTCAATGACAGTTGGATTGACACCGCCTTCATCCCTCCCACACACACACGTCTTCAGAAAACGACCTTGAATTCAATGACACCTTCGCATCCCCAATTTTATTCTGATGGACCCTGCTTTTTTTTCTGAATTCTGTCTTTTCAAAAAAAATTGGCAACATTCCAAGTCTGTTTGTTCTCGAATCTTCTTCGCTTTTATGTACTTTTCGTCGTCTGCTTGCGGAAAAACGCCAAACTGTTTGCTTCTCTCTTCGTTCATGCGGAACACACGCGCGGCAAAAACCGAAACTGAAGAAGATTCTATAACCATATGTGTATAGGAAGGAATAGAAGAAGAAAAATATCAGTTATGCAGAGAGGGACGGACGTCCAGTATTATTAGTATTATATTTTATGCCTAGTATATATACTTTTTTTTCGGAGATTGTGTTGTATATACACAACGCAACAATTTTTTATGCTGCTTCCGATCAAAGTTCGTGTGAATTCAGAGAGAGAAACGAACAGGAATTATGTTACTTGCTTTCACTTTTTAAATGGAGGAGGTGAACATGAAATTGGTCGGGGTGTCTTTTTTTAATTTTTCAGTCGAACGTCAATTTTTTTTAAGTCTTTATAAGTAGATCACAAGTCTGGAATCATTCTGAAACTTTTGAAAAAAAAGAAGAGTTTCTTCCTTTAAATCTTCAGAATTTTAGAATTTCGTCTCTAGCCGAATTTAATTTTTTTCCAATTTTTTTTTTAATTTTAGAGTCTGCGATCTTCGAAATTTCAAACTTATCGAGTTTTCGAATTCCTCCAAAAAGTGCATAATCGAGAGATTTTCAACTACAGTAATCCGAAATTTTTTCAAAACTAGTAATGATTATATTCATTGGAAAGCTTACAACAAGCCGAGTCAAATTGTACTAGTTTCATAGTTCTAGAAGCACTGTAGACCGATATACGGTAGTTTTGGTTGAGAGGTCAAACTAAAGTAATCTAAAAAAAGGTATCAAGTCCAGTCATGATTATACTCATCTGAAAGCTCACAGCGAGTCACATTGAACCGTGTAGGTTTCATGTTTTTGGGATCACTGTGACTAGAGATAGGTAGTTTTGGTGAAGAAGTCAAACTACAGTAATCCGGAAAATTGTTTAATCTGGTCATGATTACACTCATTTGAAAGCTTACAACAAATCGAGTCCAATGGCATTAGTTTCAAAATTCTAGGATGACTATAAATCAAGATACGGTCGTTTTCGTGAACGTAAAAAACTACAGCATTCCAACAGTTTTTGAAATCTAGTCATAATTATACTCATTTGAAAGCTCGCAGGGAGCCAAGTCGAAAGATATTAATTTCATAGTTTTGGGATTACTGTAGACTGAGATACGGTCGTTTTGGTGACGAGGTCAAACTACAGTAACCCGAAAAAAAAATTTAATCTGGTCATGATTATATTCATTTGGAAGCTCGCAGTTAAGCAAGTCGACTAGTGTAAACTTTATGTTTTTTGGATTACTGTAGCCCGAGATACGATAACAGATTACTGTAGCTCGAGATACGATAGGAACTTGATTGACGATAACTGAGCAACCTGATGACACCGAATTTTTATGACGCTCATCTCCATATTGTATGACTTCAAACTCCCAGAAAAGGCCATCCTGGTATCTATTAGATGAATCAGAACTTTTTCTTCGCCGTGTAGAATTGCGGAAAACGAAGTTTTAGAGGTCAGTTTGCGGTAGACAAGACACTCTTTCTCAAATACATACAAACAGCTGTTCCGATAGGGTCTGACGTTTTTTTCCTCAATTTTGTCGTCGTGTTTAGTACACAATGACTTCCTATTGACCTCAAAAGAATTGGCAATTATTATATTTCTCTCACACTTGTAGATTGACTGACCTGACCTAGAGACAGTTTTTTTGTAGAATGGGATAATTTTCACGTTAAGTTTTTGCTGCTTTTTCAACGTCACCAGAAGCGAGGCATGAAAGCAATTAAGCTTCGGGGGTCTTCCCCTCGTCACATGAACGGCCGGGGGGAATAATTATATTGGCCAGATGTAGTCGAAAAGTTTTTAAAGCGAACAAAGAGAGAAAGCGAGAATCATATAATAATAATATCTTTGCCGGACATCTGTCCCCTCATAAATAATTCTTCATTTTACACTTATTTTCCAGCCACCAGTCTTTCCGCCTATAATTTATTTTCCCATCATAATCAGTGAGTGACCCCCTTTCAAGTACGAAAATTGGCTTCCAAATCTTTCCATGTTTCTGCTGTAATGTGTCTAAATCTCTTCAAATCACCCACTATTTCTCCCCTGATCGCTCTCTCAGGAGAAAACGGCAATCGTGATTTCTTCAACGAAACACACACACTCTCTTCTTCTTCTTTTTCTACTCAAGCGTAGTCGAAGAAGAAGATGAAGACTTTCTTTTGTTTCTGTTCATTAATTTATAGACCCATTTCTCAATCAGTTTGACTTCCAGTTGTCCCTAAACCTCTTCCTTTGTGGCGATTTTGTCCCTGAATTAAAATTTCCTTTCTTTTTCTTTTTTCTCTGACCAATTTCGCCCTGACCGGTACTCAAGGTTAGTACCAATCTAGGTTAAAAGGGTCACGCCACCAAAAAAGGTCGAACTCGTGAGCCTATTTTAGACCTGTAATCAGCTCTTTGGACGCCACGTCATATTTTTTAAGACAGTCTCGCCCACTCATTCGCCAGCTGATTAGAAATTAATGACTCCCAAAATGAGGGAAACCTCATTTTTCATATCTTTGAAGTTCTCAAAAACATTCAATTTTCTATAAAACTTGCACTTCATACTTTGAAATTTTGATAGAAAGTCTACACTATTGACTTTAGAGATTCGTCAAACCTAGACGAACACCTCCGCAACTATTTGAAAGAAAAAATACTGTGTTAAATTGAACTTTTGCATTCTGATACCTCGCTTTAATAGAGTTCCTGAATGAACTAGATTTTTTATTAAATTTGGACCTGAAAAAATTAGCCCAAGAAATGAACCGAAAATTCAAAATAAGACCAAAAATTTCCAAATTAGTCCGAAACATAGATTTTAAATTTTCAAAATTAGACCAAAAAATCATCCAAAAGAAATAGAATATACCAAAAATTAGACATATGAAAATCCAAAATTAGGCCAAAAAGTTAGGCCAGAAAATAAGAAACTCAAATCCTGAAATTCAAAATTTTCCGAACTTTATTTTTGTGAAAAAAGTCAACATATGAAAATTTGCCTAAACATCTGATTTCCAATTGTTTTCTCTTCTGAAACCTATACCTGAAGCCAGTTCTAAATAACTAAATTTTTCGAAAATTCCCGAAATTCCAGAAAAAGGCCAAAACACACTGACCGAAAAGGTTAAGTAATAGCTTACCTCACTATCATTTTAAACCCTCTCCGAGGCTTAATTTTTTCGACAATTTTCTCTTTTTTCCTTACTTCTCGGAACCCCATTTCTCACTCCGATTTTTCGCCTCTTTTACCTATTTACTTTTTCAAACTGTTCACCACATTGAAATTTCTTATCTATTTAATTTCAATTAATTATCTCGTTTCGTTGAAACCCATCCACCAGAACAGACTTTAATCGAGAATTCGAATTTTTCTTATCAATTGCTCCTCCTCTCATGTTTACAAAAAAATATTATTTGGCTCTCTCTTCAAAAAGAAGAAGAGTTGTTTGCTGTCAACTAAAAAAATGCATGTTATATTTTTTTTTTTCGTCTTTTCGTCAATTACCATATATAAAATGTGTACACTTTTTATGGAACAACGCTTTTGGGACTATAAAATTTTCTAGACTTTACGACCCCAAAGTCTATGTCAATAGACATATATACGACTAAAAAAGTGAGCATCAGGTTTCCCGATGACCCAGTATTCTCGTTTTTTGCTTTCCAGGTAGAAACATAAAGTGTCAGTAAATAGGGGGTAGTTCCCCATGCCTGTGCATAAATAATCGACCGGTTTTTCTCGTGTCGACGACGGGAGAAACTTTTACTCTATGTGTTACTTCACTTTTTCGGGTTACTGTCTCTCTATTCCTCTTCTTCCCCTTTTTCAAAAATCTCCATTTCTGTTGTCCTTGAAGCTTATCTCTCTCTCTCTTCCGTTATTCTGTTTTTTTGCCACCTTCTTTGTGCAAAACGTACTCTTTTCCAGGCGGTTCATTCGGTTTAAAAAATGGCGCCGAGAGAGGATTCACCATACACAACCCTCGGAATCTCCTCCACTTCAGATGATGTTGAAATCAAGAAGGCGTGAGTTTTTTTTTCCCATATGGTCCCGAAATTGGAAATGCATGTCTTTGAAATTTTGATTCTTAAAATACCGAATACATAAGTATTGCAAAAGTTTGCATAGTGATCGAAAAAGTATGATTTTTATATCATTTTTGATTGCACAAAATCTTCCCAAAAAGTTTATGTACACATTGTCTGAAAATTCCTAGCTGGCTTGACCTGGAAAATTTTCAAATAAAGGGTGGCGCGAAGTTAACAGGACTGATAAAAACGGGTATATCTTTAGACATTAGTATCTTGGAAGCACGAAAATTGGTAGAAATATAATCTTACGTTTGATTCAAAGCTACTGAAATTTTCAAAGCGGTTCGTTTAGTCTAGGTGTAGTTATGGTTGTCCAAATGTATTGCGAATTTCATGAGGAGAAGCAACTTTGACAAACGATAACTCTGCCCAGAGTTTATCAGATAGTTTGAAATTTGACCAGTTTACTGATCAATTATTCAAATATATGCACTCTAAATTTTAGTCCAGTACAACGCTTCACTCGAAAGTTGTGCTTGTACAAACTTGAGTCCTGGTAATTTTGCGTCACCCTGTAGGTCATTCATTGGATGAAGCCGTGCGATTCAGAATTGATTTTTTTCAAATTTTGTTATGGAATTCTTATTATTTAAACAAAAATCTATATTTTCGTAGTTTAAAGTTTTTGTAGAGCATTGCCAAGAAAAAAGTTATGACTCGTTGAAAAAAAAACTTTAGTCCTGGTACCACTCTGTAGAAGATGGCGCAAGTCAATCAACCTAAAAATCTGAAAGGGGATTAAATCGCTACTCTATGAGCTCGTAAATTACTCACACCAAAAAAATTCAAAATTTTACAGCTACCGAAAATTGGCTCTGAAATGGCATCCCGACAAGCACACAGACGACAAATCGAAAGAAGAAGCCGAGCAGAAATTCAAAAAAATCGCCCAAGCCTACGAAATTTTGACCGATAGTGAGTTTTCATTTTTTCGGTTTTCTGGGAATCATAAAATTTTGCCATTAAGCAAAAAACAACCTTTATCAACTACAGTACAGAGTCTTTAATTTTTCAGTGGTTTCGTTGGAATTTTATGATTTCCGGAATAGAAAAAAAATGGAAAAAGAAAGAGAACCAAAAACAAAAGCAGTGACAATTTGTTTATTTACCGACACTTCCTGTTTTCTTTGGTGAATGAACTAGCGGATAGCGATAGCAAATACAAAAAAAAACAGGCAAAAACTGGGGATGAACATGTAATTTTTATTATTATGATCACATTTTGTTGACCTACTTAACCAAAGTATGGAAGTTCTGTACAAAATAGGTCGACTGTCTCTACTCTATGCCGAGACCACAAAATTATTTTAACACTTTCTTGAAATTTTCCAAAAAAAAGATCACTGAAAAACAAGAGAGTGCAGAGAAAAAGTGTAAACTAGTGTGTATATTGTTGTGTAACAATCAGTGTCTTCTTGATCTCTTTTTTTTGAAGCACCTGCTCTTGAGAAGTTTGCCAATTAGTTGTTGAAATATAGGGGAAAAGAAGGGACAGGACTAAAGAACAGAAGGGAAACAAAGAAGAAGTGTTTTGAAATTTTGGTATCATTGAGTTGGCAAACAGAGGGATCAAAAGAGAACATAAAGAAGTGCAAATAGAAGTGATAAAAATCATTTTTATCGAAAATTTATTTTTTTCCTTATGGGGGTCAAAGAGGAATTGAAACTTTGAAATGCCGGATTCTAAATCCCAGGACTCCAAAATGACAAGTTATCGAAAATTCAGAATTTCAGAACCTTGAGATCTCTGATCAACAGAACTTATAATTTCATCACAGTCATTAAAGGAGGCCAGACATCAAAAAAAGTTTTCCTGATATTTTGCATAGAGAACCCCCACGAGGGGTTGAACTCATGACAGGCAGCTCAGTGGTACAGCGCCGCTACCGGCTGAGCTACGGGGGGCGCGAAGGCGCCTGCCGATGGTCTACATAAGCGCAGCGCGATTTCGTCCCCCGAAATTTTTTCTGTCTCGCCTCCTTTAATCATTTGTAATTCGATTGAAACGATTTTTCGAAAGTTCCAAAACACAACTGAACTGTTGAGCGATAAATCTTCTTTTTCGGATGCCATTTTTTCAATTTTAGCAAGTTTAGGCAAAAGTTTAAAGGTTCAAAAAGGATATTCGATCCCTAAAAAGAGAATATTCGATTTTCAAATCTATATGAGATCCACCGTAAAACCTGTAATAGAAGGGCCCCTTAACTTTCAACTTTTAGGCAGTTTATCTCGTTTCCTGTGAGAGATATCAAAAATGTGTCAACTGATAAAGTATTTTTGATATTATGATGAACAATTTATTAGTGGACAGCTTTTTGATATCATTTACAAGAACCGGTTCAAAGTAAAGATGAGAAGCCCTTCTATTAAAGGTGAATAGTGCATGAAAGCTTATGTGATCTGAAACTCATAGTTCTAGCCTAGATCCCCCAAACTTTGTTTTTTTCAGAAAAGAAACGCGCCGACCTCGATCGATCAGAGAACCCAGGACTTCATCGTCGCCGTAGTACTCCAGGAATGCACAGAATGCACAGTCACGACATGTTCCGCTCACCATTCGATATTTTTCGCGAATTCTTCGGCAACCGGGATCCATTCGAGAATGTTTTCTTCGACGACGCTTTCACATTTCCCGACGTCGATTCGTACGCATTCAAGAATCCACCGAGATCCGCGGATTTCTCGACTAAACATCACTACCATCGGTTCCCGTCAGGCAGAGTTCACATTTTCTACGACGAGAACAAGAACAAGGAGAGAGACGATAAGAAGTGAGAGAGATTTCAGAATATATGGGAGGTTATGAATTAATTTCAGCTCGTTCTCCACTGTAATCCGATTCTCAAGCCCCACAGAACCAGGAAAGAATGCGACAGTAAGAAAGACTTCGACGTCGACAAAAGTTGTAGATGGAAAGAAAATTGTAACGAAAACAGTAGAAAATGGAGATGAGCATATTGTGGAGGTAAGGGATTTTCAAATTGATTTGAGCAGTAGCTTTAGATTACGGTAGCCAAAGTGTTACCGTAAACACTCTAACAGAAGGACATCCTAACTATCAACTTTGAGCCAGCTTATCTCGGTTCCTGTGAAAGATATCAAAAAGTGGTCAATTGACAAATTGTTTATCATTATATTGCAAGCATTTTATCAAGTGACACATTTTTGATATCTCTCACAAGAATTGAGATAATTGAACTCAAACTTGACTGTTTTGGCGCCCTTCTATTACAGCTGTCACGGTATGCTTCAACTTTTCAAAAAAGCTTAACAGCGAAATTAACAGATTATTTGTGTGTCTAAAATTCTAGATTACATGTTCTAACCATATTCATCCCGATTTTCTTCAGGTCCATGAGGATGGAGAACTGAAATGCCGAACTGTAACAACTCCTCCAACATCGCCAACAACAGTGACTGTTGCGGCTTAAACCGTATTTTTGAATCCAATATTTGCAATCCGTTCTAGTCATTTTTTTCATTTTTTTCTGTTTTTTTTTTGGTATCATTTTCCTCATTCATCCGTTTTTTCCCGTTCTACCTTTTTCCAAATCCCATCATGTCTTTTCCTTTTTTTCTATCCCATTTTTCTGTCTCTCTTCTTCTAGTTATTTATATATACTTAATTCCCAAAACTTGCTCTTTCATCCACAGCAAATTCACAAAAACGCCCTCCCATCCCCCAGTTTTTTTCTAAAATCCATTCTGGACTCTCCTGAAAAAAGTATTATGAATCGAATTCTGTCATGTACATAATGTGGTTTCCTCATATAATACGTCCCATTTCTTTTTCTTATTTGTATTAGGTTTGGCAGTTTTTTGAAAACAAAAACAACAAAAATACATTGACTTTAAAAAACTTCTGATTCATTTTTCACACAGTTCTTCAATACACGACGCCTCCAATGCAAAACAAATCTGAAATTTTCAGATTATACTAAACAAAAATAGACCTTCATTTTTTAGTTGACAACTTTTTTGCCAAAATCCTTACTGAAGAGATATGCCGCTTTGAAATGAGAGTTGAGACTGTCTCTATGCCCTTCACTTTAAAGGCGCATAGCTCAAAAACTGCTGTTGCTAGAAAAAAGTTGTCAGTTGCAAAACTGAATCTTTATTTTCGGTTGATACGCTTTTAAATTTCCCGAAAAATCGAAAAAAATTTGAACTGTTTTTAGGGTTAAAAATTCAAAATACGGAATGAGGACTGGCGCTATAAAGAGAGGACTTTCAACTTTGATCCAATTTATCACGGTTCCTGTCAAAGATATGAAAAAGTTGTCGACTGATAATTTGTTTATCATAAGACCACAAACAATTTATCAGTTGTCACATTTTTGGTATCTTGCATAGGAAATGGTATAAATTGGCTCAAAGTTAAGAGGTCGGCGGCCCACCGCGTAGCTCAGCCGGCAAGCGGCGCCGAGTCGTCAACTCTGAGGCAATTTATCTCGGTTTCTGTCAAAGATATGAAAAAGTTGTCAACTGATGATTTGTTCATCACAATATCACACTTTTGAACACATTTTTGATATTTTGCACATTTTTGATATTTTGATATTTTGTTAACACATTTTTGATATTTTGCATAGTTTGGGAGGATATACTATTACAGGTTTGAAGGTATAGGTTTCAAAAATTCAGATTGTTTGGAAATTCATGTCGCATTAAAATTTTTTGATACTGAAGTTTAATGTTGAATTTTTGAACTCAATGATAGCAAAGAAGCCTTTCTCATCACTTTGATTGTATTGAAATTCAGGTTCTTTTCAAGTCTGCATGAGTTTGCGCAGTGCACAATATTGAAAAGGTATTGTCTCCATTAAGAATTCACAGAAGAGATGCCGGGATCGACTTTTTCGAAACAAAAAAAAACAAACAACGGAACCCGGAATTCCGGAACATTGCAAGTGTGTACAAAACTTCAACTTTTCGTGACAGAAAATTTTCAAACTTGTATTTATTGAATATTTGGAAACCCCCCATTTTTCTCGGAATCCGAAACACGGATTCCGAAAAAAAAACGGAACCTGGAATACGTAATCCGGACAACTGTGATTCAGATAGAATCCCAACTTTACATCATTCAGGATCATATGAGTTCAACATTCGAACTGACTCACCCAATGATTTCTTTTATTATTACACATCCATTAAAGTTGTCTCGTCATTTCTGTTTGCGGTTCTTTTTTCCAGCCTTATCAATTTTTATCTATAAGAAACGTCGCCTCCTTTCCTCTTCCGTATCAGAATCTAGAATGAATATTTTACTTTTTGTGTTACTTCTTGGCATCGTCTCTGCGGATCCCCAAATTATATGGCTCAGTCGACAGAGTGGTACAAATTCACCAAATAATGTTAACGTAGAAGTGAGTTCATTTTATAGGAAATTCGGACATCTATTTGAATTTTGTTTTTAGGTGGGAGGAAATCTTTACTTGGCTTCTAATGACGATTCTGCACAGTTACAAAAGATAACCATTACCATAGGCACCACTACGTTAAGGTAAGATATACATGTCTCGACTAGATTCAACGAATTCGGAATTGTAGAAATTGGAAAAATGTCAGATTTTTTGAAAAAAAATTAACTCTTTAGACTGGATCAGCTGAGTGATGGGAAGAGTTTGAAAATCCTTTCAAATCAACTGACTATCCGGTCGGATCTTCTCGACGCTACTGCTAGAAAACTCACTGGATATTTATATGTTACAACTGCAACTCAAGCAAACGGTACTGATTTCCCTTGAGTATATTGATATACCGTGAAACCTGTATTAGAAGGGCCTCTGTAATAGAACGGCCCTTCTAATAGAAGGGCCCCTTTCACAGAAGGGCTCCTCTAATAGAATTTCCCTCCGAGAGAGGCTCGGAAAAATACAAGCGCCCCCTGTAAAAAATTCCTTTCAATATGTGCTTTGAAATTCAAAACTTCCGTACGTTTCCAGTGAAAAACATTCCGAGAATTCCACAATTTGATAGAAAGTTGTTAATATTTTTTGGTTTTTTAAAAAATTTTTTCACTTTTTGTGAAACTGATAGCCCTTAATAATTTTGATCAAAAATTAGTAAAATTTTTCGATAAAAAAATTGGAACAAGAAGCTCTAATTGAAGGGCCGGCCCTTCTAATACAGGTTTTACGGTAACTTTTTTTTCAGATAATACATTCGATGTGAAAGTGGTGAATGGAGCGCAAAAATTGAATCGAAATGGGGACAGTACTACTACAGTAATCCTCAATACCCAATACAAAGACGATTTCCCTTCGTTTTTTGCTCCAGAGAAAACCACTTATGTAACGGAGGTTCAGCAATTTAGAGTGAGTCATATTTATGAGTAAGCTTTCCATTTCGGGCAAATCTCACCCGCTCCCACGGTGTTTCATGAAGCCTGGCCGGAAAACGCGCCCCAGCTAACTGACAGGCCAGAGGAAAATCTATATTTTGAAGTGGACGCAGATTTCATCTATTTATTTGTGAATAAACCAAATCTATGCGCAATTTTTTCGCTCATCGTTTAAAACTTTGATAGTCAGCCAACGAAGTTCCGCAGCGAATTTAGCGAGGTTTCGAGGTTCGCTGGGGCGCGTTTTTCGGCAAGGCTCCCTGAAACAGCGTGCAGTTGAAACGCCCGAATCAAATTCGCTCGTCAAAAAAGTGCGTTACGCGTGCAATCACCGTCACGCACTATTACGGATCAGGTGAATAGGGCTGGTGGCGGGCGACCTGTTACCGTATCGAGTGATGGGTGTTTCGGACGCACTGGCCGAGTTGGAAAGCTTATTTCTGCGTTTAATAAAAGCTTTCAGAGCAACCCAATAAACTTCCACTATGGAATTCCTGGAGATAATTGGAAAACTTTCACTGGCAATCAATTTTTCGAGAATCCACAGCCATTTGACTTCTATGATGATCATGGACGCCCCCACACAAACATGATATTCTTTGACTCGGTAGAACCGATGCAAATCAATCTTCCGTATTGGTACATAACCGCTGGTGGACCATTCAGTTTGAATATGGATAGTTCGTTTAGTAAGTTCATTTTATCAATTTTGAATGTCTCATTTTTGTTTGCAGACGACGAACAAATTCACAACACCACCTCAGCCAACACAACCGGAGTATACATCTTGAATGACGTTTGGAGGAATCCAACTGTGAATTTCGCCACGGATCCTACTAGAAAGGGATATTCGGGTGTCTTGGTAACTGACTAATTATAAAAATGGTGATATAACTGACATTCTGTTTTCAGACGTACGTTGATCTGGATTACTCTGCTTGCATAATTTTTAACAACGTTATCAAGGGTGACTCAAATTACAACCTGTGTTTTGGGGCTGACAACAAAATAGTTCATGAACGGCTTTCCTCTAATTTGGTCTCAAAATCACTCGTTGTCAATGCCACCGCAGGAAACCCGGGAACACTGTATTTCCAATATTTCGTATTTAGTAAGTTAGAGATCATGAAACTTTTCGTATTCGAATTTTCAGCCGGAGAATTATATCCAATCACCTCGAGTACACAGCCGCCGCCGTCTACAACTGTAACCACTACTACTGCCATAGCCACCACAACTGGTTCAGCTGGAAACAACGACGCTTTCTTTTTGATTTTGGCTGCTGCATTCTGGAAATATCTACTGTAAAGCGATTTCTTATCTATTATACAATTGATTCTCATTGACGACATATTCATGAAAGTTGAAGTTTTTTATGACACACTTGGAGAGGTAATCAGTCTGAATTCATCATTGTGGTTGCTCTGAAATAATTAATTTCAAAAAGGTTAAAGTTGTAGGGACTTTTTGAAAATCAGGTCATGACTTTAAAAATTCAAAAAAAAGTTGCGAAAAAATTCTTTAAAATTAGGTCATGACCTACAAAAATCCAATAATTAGGTCGTTACTTTAAAAAAATTTAATGAGCATTCAAAAAGTAGGTCATGACAGAAAATATTTTTAAAGAATTCAAAAAGTAGGTCATGACAGAAAATATTTTTAAAGAATTCAAAAAGTAGGTCATGACAGAAAATATTTTTAAAGAATTCAAAAAGTAGGTCATGACAGAAAATATTTTTAAAGAATTCAAAAAGTAGGTCATGACAGAAAATATTTTTAAAGAATTCAAAAAGTAGGTCATGACTGAAAATATTTTTAAACTCAGGTTATGACCTAGAAATGAAAATCCATAATCTTAGGTCGTGACCTAAAAAATTCAAACAAAATTATTTCATGACTAGAACATTTCAAAAGTTATTTCTTGGACTAGAAAATTCAAAAAACTGGGTCACCTGACCTGAAAAATTAGAAAAAAACATTTGATCGTGACCTTGAAGCTTTTAAATTTTAGGTCCGACCTAAAATTTTAAAAAATTAGCTAAATAAATTATTCGTTCATTTGCGCCCCTCGAGAATTTGAGCTCAAAAAATGATGAAACAGGTTCAAAACTTTTCAAAAAACTTCCTTAAAATCAGATCTATTTAAAAAACAACATTGTAGGTGTGTTATGAAACTAGTAATGCTGATAGAATTACATCTGACACTATATTGATACTGTAGATTGTTCATTTGCCAGAAGTGTCCAGAATCTTCGAAATCCTATCATTCTTTTCTTTTGATCCTATCTTTAGGAACCAGAAAATCTAGTTCAGGAGCAATACTTCCAACACTAATACAAACTTAATGCCATTACAATGGTGATATGGTTCTTGTTCTTCTTTCGGATGTTACGTGGTAACAACAGTAGACTGACCTGATTCGCAATGTGAGGAATCAAAAGAGGAAAAACTAAACAGGATGACATAACCAAACGGGTAAAGTGGCTAAATTATATTATGCATACTCTCAGTTCCAGACGGAACGGGATTCTGAATGACGGTATAAAAGAAGCGGGTGAGGATTTTCAAGTCCATCAGTTCCCGTGGTTTCTGATTCCTTTTCTGATTCCTTTTTACTTCAGATGACGTGGCAATAATTAAAACGTCTTCGTCTTCTTCTTATACTTCTTTTGACCATCCAACAATAAATATTTACAACCTCCTTGTTTTCCGTTCCTTCCTATAAAAGATTCAGTATCCCCATCTTCAGAACCAAAATGCTTCGCTTTACTCTCCTCTCCATCTTCATAGCATCCTCATCTGCCTTCCTCTTCCCAATGGCTGGAGGTGGCGGAGGCGGTGG